TGCAGCATGCTCTTCGAGAGCAAATTTCACAGGGCGTAGCTAACGTCGATGAGTGACAGTTATGGAGTACATGTGAAGAATTCGAATATCACGCTGAGGTTTGCAGAGTAACTAGGAGCACTTATCGATCATTTCTGGATGCTCTAAATAAACTTGATGAGTTTCTATATTTTTTCAGCTGTGTCAATGTTTGCGTCCGTAACCATTTCGAAAATACGCTAATTTCTTATCGTAGATATAAATTTAAAAATGTGTTTATAACGCATTGGAATTCACAACACAAATATTTATAGTTCTAAATGTTAAATTCCTTAGATCAATAAGTAAAGACCACTGTGATATGTATTATCCAGGGAAACAAGAAATGACTAGTGGTAGCAGGGATGTTGACTGGGTCTGAAAAGGCGATACTGTGTGATGTCTGAGACCTGATAATATATTATCATTTTAATTAATTTAAAATACGAAAGGATTACAACACATCGTATGCTAATTACTAAATACTGAATTATTTAAATATTCCCCCAGTGAGGGCAAACCACAAGCGTTGCCGCCTGAATTATAGTAGTCTGTGAAGATTTGTTTTGCTTTGTTATTAATCAAAAAACGATTGCTGTGTAATTTTATCTTCTTAAGCCCTTTCTAACTCTTAATGTACCCTATTTATAAATCTTTTTTTCTTCTTTACCTGTTACTCCCACTTTAATCATAGGGCATCTGTGAAACAATTGGTTTCACTTCAGTTTCTTAATCTAAAACAATCGGTAGGATTTCTTGGACTGAGGATCAGCCCGTAGCAAGGCCGCTACCTAACACAAACATAAAATAAACACACATCCATGCCTTGAGTGGGATTCTAACCCTTGATCCCAGTGTTCTAGCGGGCAAAACATTTCATGCTTTAGACCGCCCGACCACCGTGATCGGCCTAATTATAAATGGGAGACTTGTATTGAACATTTCCAGTTTTATATTTGCAAAGATATGTGCCCGTAGGTGACATGGCACGCCGAATAAAATATCCCCCACCCCTGATACACACTGCCAGTACATAAGGGACGCGACTTGATCCTGTCACCCAGCTTCGCTCTTTGATTCTTTTGAGAGGAACTAATGACACAATCGTATTCCTCTTTTGTCCTTAACCTCTCTTTCTGTCCCATCTTCCATTATTGTTCTCCTTGTCCGCATTCCATTAATCTGTTTTCCTCTGTGACGTCCGTCTCGTGGATAACGAGACCAGAAACGGAAATGACGAGGTTCTTTATAGGGACGTAATAACAAAGAAATATCGAAACAAGCTTGTTAACCCGAGGGAAGAAAAAGTTTCTTCAGTTGTTGTTGAACAAATGACGCTTTGAAGTAACTGATTTTGGAAAATAAACCAGAGCGATGTCCTTAAAACTGTAAATTGTTATTCCTCCTTTGGTCCCAGCTAGAGATTTCAATGAAGAACTTACCCTGCAAACTTGAGGGAAAATTAAGAGCCCCATATTCCTCAATTTTATTAAGTTCGTGCACTCTTTTCTCAGGAACTATATAACGCAGAATCGAGAAATCTTTACCAAATACGTTACTCTTATCTCTTAAGGCACTGATATGTTTTTACATCTCTAGTACAAAAAGTATGGCTGTTGTTGAATATTCTCCTCTCGGAAGTGTATAAAATATTTTAAACAGTTTTTATCATACTAATGCCTTACAAGTAAAACAGATGTAAGGATATTCAAATAATTCTCACCTCCATGTATGCTAATTTTCTTAACTGCAGTTGTTGGTTGCTTAGAAAAATGCAACTAAATTTGATAAAATTAACATTGCGAAAACAGAACCGCCACTTAAACACAACCATTTGTCTTCTAATGACACTGCCTCTTACAAAACTTCCCGTTTCATGAAATCACACACACTTAGAGTAGTTGTTTCACGCATTGAATATCTCAACCTCAGGAATGGAAGATACATAGGGGAGTTCTTGAAGCCCTGTTGTATTTTAGGTTGCCATGAACACAGTGTTTAGTAAAAATTAAGATAAAGCTATCCCTGTAACAGGCCGTGGAGGCCCATATGATTGTAAGACGTCGAGGCTCCCACATTATCTACACAATCGGCTCACAGATTGAGGTGAAATTGTCGCCCTGAAAATTGCAAATAAGTGGCATATTATTTCTTAAGCCTTATTCTTCATACAAATTAAACGTTATCTTTTTTTTCTAAATATGGGCAGATAAACAATATGTTTGTCTCATATCCGGGTTTAATATGTGACATGAAGCCTAAAAATAAGAATAGTTCATTGCTAGGCAACGGTTCTGTAAACACATTCCCGCGGAAGTGTACGAGCGCAACAATAGAAAGGCGGTGTTTACTGTGGTCCGCGCCTTTCTCGTTGCCATGCAACGTTGCAGTAAACACATCTCTGTGGTAGTGAATCAATACGCAACAATAGAGGAAGCGGTGTTTTCTGTGAAGGTCGCCCCGGGGCTATATAACGATATTCTCATGCAGTTGCAGACTGCAGCCACCTTCACACGCTGGTTCCTCGCTCGCGGAATTTTCTACCCTGAAGATAGAGGCGATACATTCCTCCGAAACGTCAGTTTACACTAGATCTACACGGCACCACATCCCAGAAGCCGGCATTCTTTACCGACAAATCGTGTCCATATCATCACATCTTATTTCTCTAAGAAACATTTTAATATTATCCTCCCATATACTGTTGTCTTACAAGTGACATACTTCTTCCGGGTTTCCAGTCAAAACTTCGCGTAAAATTCTTTTCTATCCCATGTGATTTGTGTGATGCGCAAATCTGACCCTCCTCAATTGGGAAGTCATAATATCTCGTAGGATTACGAATTATTAAACTGTTTACTTTGAAAAATTTCTTGTAGACTCCTGTTGCTTCCTCCGCATTACGTCGAAACATTCTACGCAGCGCCCTGTTCTAACATACCCTAGATTTATGTTCTTCTTACATGTGAGAGACATTTCATGCCATTACAAAAGATCAAGCAAAGTGAGAGATCTTGATTTTTGCGTTTTCAGATAGCATACAGGACGACAAACAAATGTCAATGAGTGATCCAATCAAAGAAACAAAAATTAATTTAACAAATTATTCGTAGAGGTGCAGTTTATGAACGGAGCAAAATTATGAGTGATCAATAAAATGACAAACCAGTAATGCAGAGTGTATGGAAAATGTACCCTTTTTGATACTGGCGTTAATTTGAAGAGAGCCTGGCAGGCTGCATTTCCATATCCAGTTTCCACATTTCTAATGCTCATGGCCCCTTCCTGACGGCAGAATGCGAGACACGTTTCCTATACACGCCTTCTCAAGTACCAGACAGAATCGGGCAATTAGGGGCACTACTTTTAGACGAGAAATCACGTGCGCAGAGCAGAAAGAGCAAATAAAATTTTAAACGTACGTGATATGACATAGCGCAGTAAGAGGACATTGTGTGAGACACACGTGACCCGTAGAAGCTCCCCTGTAGCACACCTTACGAACGAATGTGACAATATCAATACTTACACGCCTACATTTTGAAGAAATGATGCCAATGAAGCTGTTCCAAGAGCGTTTTCTAAACATAAAATTAAACAAGAGTTCCAGATATCTCATAAAGGCTGCTTTCTTATTACAGATGTTCTGTCCCATAAATCGTTCCGTAATGTTAATGTAACATGCATAGCATTCGTGCGTTATGATTAAAATGCGTGGAGTTTTAGGCTGAGGTTACACCAAAGGAAAATGGCAACTGCAACGCAACCGCGATTTCCGAGAATTCTTATCAGCTTGAGTGCAACACATGTTAGTGAATGGAGCAGCACAAATTGAGGAAACGGCAATGCAACTCAAGGAAAGAATGAGAAACTCAACTTCCAGGCAACTGAACATGACGGTCTTCTCACAATTTCGTTGCCGCGTGGTTTCCTAGTATAAGCTGGTCTGTAACGCACTTCAGTCATTAATTTGTTTGTTAAGATGGCACGAAAGGTTGACGAAGCTGCTAATTTTGTGTTTGTGCAGTTAATTGAGCAAGAACCTGGTATATATAACAAACGCCACCCATATTACGCTATGCAGAACAAAATAGATTTGGTTTGGGAAAGAATTTCTCATGAGACGAAGGAGCCTGGATCCAGGTTAAATTCTTTTGAAACAATATAAGAGCGACAGTTTAAATTGTGGCAGAAAAACGGCTTTCTTTTCCTAATATAGTATATAAATATCTTGTTGCATTAATATATCATTTATTTCACATATATTTCCGTCTTAAATGCAACTTATTAAATAGCCACCCTTCTTCCACATTACACGGTTCGGCTGTATACGGCCATCATCAGGTATCTTCTGTCTTGCTAAAATTGTTGCACAGTATGTCAAAATTTCGTATCTCGCGTGAACGCGATATCTTCTGATTACAATAATTGACCTTAAATAAAACAGTTTAATTAACATCCCAATATTTTCCTTATGGTCGTCGTCCTCTCTTCTCACACTGTCTCAACCGGTCTCAACTACTACCATATTATGACAGGATCAGCATTATTATCTTCCATTGCAGAAGGCAAGTACACAAAATTAAAAAATACAATCATCCATACGTCGGACGAATATACTCACTTAAGATTATGTGAGCAACTACTCAAAAATAAGCTTCCTCAGTGTGCCCCTGCTAATGGAAACCAGTTGGCTGCTTGAAATCGGCGATTTTTCTCAGAAATTGCGGTTGCTTTGCGGTTGTCAGTTTCCTTGGTGTGCCCTTGTCCTCAAGTTTTAGTAGTTTCGTTAGGCCGAGGGCACACAAAGGAAACTGGCAACCGCAACACAACCGAAATTTCCGAGAAATATCGCCGATTTCAAGTAGGCAACTGGTTTCCAGATTAGCTGGAACACACTGAGGAAACTTACGTTCGATTAGTTGTTCATATCATCGTTGCAATCGACGGAAACCTTGTGTGGAGTGTTGTTATCTATAGCGATATATCGTTATCTATGGCGGAGTGGAGTTGGAGAAAGAATGTTAAGAATAAATATTGGGTGAATGGTGAGGATGTATTACGTGATAGGCTGTTGTAATGTTTGTAAGTGACTCATAAAATTGTACATAGCCGCAGATGAATCGAAAGGTCATGTTGTCAGACACTTAAGGAAAGTCACGCATTCTAGACAGATTTTAGTTCAAGATACCAGTGTTCCATTCCATATTCATCCTTGGGATGATAGCCACATAGGCAAAACTTGTTGGATAAAATTACGGGTATAAGGCAATGCCAGGTAAATTTGTACTCGTATATTCACCTGTCGACGTTGAGTGTTTGTATGGTGGAAGGTGTTAGAAGTGAATTTCAGTGTTTCTCTGAAAGCGTGGTTAATATACATTTCTAATCTATACTAAAGGTAAAAGTTATGCCTGTGCTTACATAATTAAGCACTACACCATGAAGGCGTATGGGGAGTGGGTGTGTAGATCCACATTTTCCTGACCTCAGCACCAGTTGCAGGTGAGTGGTCAGCTTCACGCCCCGGCCGCTTTACACCTGGGGAAAGAGCCCTTGGTACCTATTGGATAGGAGGTTGCGTGGACCCAAAAGCCGGTCTGGACGACGTGGAGAAGAAAATATTCTTGACCTTACTGGGACTCGAACTCCAACCTCTTGGTCGTCCAGCCCGTAGCTAGTCGCTATACAGACTACGCTATGCCGGCTCACACTAATCTATATTAAGCCGTATAATTATAGAAGCGTAATTGCCAATTGCAAAGTCATCGAAAGCATTTTGCATTCAGTATGCTTCATTGGAAAGGCTGTAAATATGATTTTCTTAATGGTACTTTTTTTAAGCTTTACATGGATCGAATGAAATAGCTGACAGATCGTGAAGCTATAATTGGAATTTTATTCAGTGGATGAAAACAGGAAAGAAAAGATGGATAGGCATTTCATTAATTTCTTAAAACTACACGGAGTAATGTCAAATTTTTCAGTTACTAAATAGTGAAAAATCCAGTGGAAATGGACAATTTTTTCAAGATTTTATCATGTTATGGCTCCTGTTAGGGCGTTTTTATTGTGAACAGTTCGTTAGTATGATCTCATTTCAATTTTCTACAGGAGGTGGAAACTAGCATAATGCGCCGAAGTGTAAAAAGTGTATGCAGATTCCTTATGCTTGCTGGTCTGACTGTGGCCACTACAGTCGTGATCTTTCGATATGTCCGCAGCATTGAAACAGTGGATTTTGGGAATGAAGTCATGGAACCACGAGGAGCTATGCCAGTTGCACCAGATCACCAGGTTCATGAACCAGAACATGCTTTAGAGGTTAGTGTGCATAAGTTAATTATAAAGATGACAGTTGTGGTTAGACTATAAGAAGATTTTGTAATCTTTCAGCTTCACTGACAGTTAGGTAGTGGCATCAGCTGTTCATGCGGTCATAATATTTGTACACTGCTTGTAACTGCTAATTACTGGGAAGGTTTGTAAATGGATTGTGGTGAATGTTGCACTAGAAGAGGAGGCAGTCATAGCCCAGTCAGAATGGAGCTAGTCTTAGGCAGTCATTGATTGTGAGCGGTTATAATTGATTGTAATTAATAGTGATTTTAAAAGAAGGCATCAATAAATCCAGTCATCCAATCTAGAACCCATTATTATTAGTCACAGAGTTATAAACATGTAACAGTATTTTGAACACTGTTACACCATCATCAAAAAGCTGCTTAGAAAAGACAGTTTTGTTACTCCATGACCAGACAGTGTTAGTACTTTCCTGTGATTTGTAGATGAGCAATGCCTTTTTTTTCTTATGGCCCTATTTTCTTTTACAGTTTGATTTTTTATACACCACGGTACACTTTTTGTTGCTTATTACATAATCTAGATTCCATATCTGCAGCCATTTTGCTTTGTATCCAACAAGATGCTATGATACAGTATTTGATTGTGTATATTTGTTTATAGAAAGATGGCATGATCGTGACTCATCATGTAAAAGTGGACTGGCATGACTATAAACTGATTGAAGCAGAATCAAAGCAGAAGGGTATTGGTGAACAAGGAAAGAGTGCCTTCCTCTCTGTCGATGACAGTGCTAAGAAAGAGGAATTGTATAAAGTAAATGGCTTCAATGGCTTGCTCAGTGACAGGATAGCATTAAACCGATCCTTGCCAGACATCAGGCACAAAGCGTAAGTTCATGCAGCTTTCAGTGAGGTACCAGTGAAACTTGAGTTGAAAGGGAGAGTTCAGTTTTTGTTGTCAGTCAAAAAGATGATGTAATGCATGAATTCTGGAAGTCATTGATAAGAGACCAGCCTCTGAAGACGTGACAGATTCTTCATGGGCCTCCGTGAGGTTTCAGTCTTGAGTGTTCAGGTTTTATGCCACAGGTGGTGCTGGTGCTAGATACTACGTGTCTTCACCTTCCCCCCCCCCATTTCTTTACATTGGTGGACATGCACTTGGTTTTGTTGTCTAGGTTTGTAGCACAAATTTCTACCTCCTTTTCTATCCTAGTTCCACATGTGTGTGCTCTATCACAATTTTTATTGCATATTTTCTTATCTCCCTCTGAATTAGCCTGGTCTCAGGTGATTAATTAGCTGTGTAAATCTGGCGGGTTGTAATCCTGTGTGGACACAGGATCAGATATCTCAGCCGTAGCCCTGTGAATCATAGGAGGCAACGAAAGGGAACCCTAGTGCCAGAGGGTGTAAGTGGGTCACCATATTCCTGGGGGATATAAATATGGGGAATTGGTCATCGAGGTTGGGGGAATCTCGAATCTGAGACAGTCATGAGTCCTGTGGAACTTGGACCTGAGAATGACTGTGCTGGCAAGGCCCAGCAGCAATTGTAAATGACAGACCCATCCTCTCATCAGAGAAGATGTTACATACGGGCTATAATCACAAGTGTCCAGTTGGAAAACAAAAATTCTGGTCGTGGATGTCAAGGAGCTTGTGCCCAAGATGAATTGATCGGCACTAAACTGCCACTCATAAAGTGACTCTGAACAGGAGTTGTCCAGTGATTGAGGTTATCTCTTTCTAAGGGACCCAACTGAGGAGGTGTCTTCCCCCGCCTCACTTGAGGACAGAAACAGATCCAGTTTCTGAAATGTCATGTTTTCTATTTTCTAGAATACCAGATGATAGAAAAAGTCCAAAAACCTAGTAATTCTAAGTGTATGTTGTTATTCTCATTTTTGTATCATTCAGTTGTGTATCATGGCTACAGAAATATAACACTTAGAAAGAGAGAAAATATTTTGTTGACATTCTCTATATTGGTCTGCTTGCAAGACACCTGCATTACATAGAAGGCTGAGTAAGCCCCCAGTTATTTCTGTTCTTTGGTAGACAAGTAAGACCACCCACACACGATAAATCAGTATGCTATCTTTATAGAGTGTGATACAGTTTTTCAAATAGCACAAATATGTTTTATTTTGCAGGTGTAAGGACAAGAAGTATCTGGCGAAACTCCCAACAGTGAGCGTGATTGTACCATTCCATAATGAACACTGGAGTACATTGTTAAGAACAGCAATGAGTGTCATCAATAGGTCTCCTTCACACCTTCTGAAAGAAATCATATTGGTTGATGATTTCAGTTCTAAAGGTAAATGTAGCTATGCTTTATGTGAAAGTGTAGGAATGCTTAAAGTGCTTAAACTTTATGTCAAATATAAATTGAAACCCTTGGCAATACATTTTGATGTATTCTATAAAAATAAATGTAAAATTAATTATATATTGTCATTTTATACATTTACACACAATTTTTTCTGTAGAGAAATAGATACCAGTACATAGACGCGATAAATAAGTAAAAGAGAAGGCATTTTGGACACACTGAAAACAGCATGTTATTTTTAGAAAAGTATGCAACAGAAAGTAGATTATACTGAAGAAAGCAGTCTTCTGGGATTTGGCGCCGTGTATACATAGATTATACTGGTTTCTGTTACATACTTTTCTAAAAATAACATGCTGTTTTCAGTGTGTCCAAAATGCCTCCTCTGTGGTCTAGTGGTCAGAGTTCCTGCCTACAGATCCAGAGGTCCGGGTTCGATTCCCGCCACTACCAGATTTTTCTGATAAGTAGTGAGTCTGGAACGGGGTCTACTCAGCCTCATGGGGATAATTGAGGAGCTATTTGAAGGAAATAATGGCTCCAGTCTAGAAAACCGAAATTAATGGCCATGGGGATCTGTTGCACTGACCACATGAAACCCCACTAAAGTTGACACTAACTTCAACAAGCAGCAGTTGCTCGGTCGGTATAGTTCGCTTGCAGACTAAAACCACAGAGTTTCTTGTTTTTGTTTTATGGTATATTTATACTTTCAGTTTTGTTTTTGTAACATAGAGAAGTAGTAATGAACCTTCATAACATATTTTTAAGTTCAGACGTTTAATTTTGCATACTTCCATTGCTATTTCACTACCTAAGTAATTGACTCCATCCAGTGAAATCATTTTTCAGATACTGATGATTGCTTTGCAGGTCAAGAAATTTGCTACCTTTTTTAGCACCTGAAGGGGTTTTCAAGACATTCTTACCACAGGAGTTCAGCACAAGACAGATAAAATAAAACAAACATCAGGGCAATGTTAGCTTTCAGATGACAGGTATGCACCTCCATAGGTGCTTCTGTGCAGTTACAGTATCAGTTGACAGAAAACACCTAAGAGAATTCTATATGAGGTGTTCAGACATTAGGTCCNCGGACGTTTCCCGCCCAACAGCAGTCTCTAATACCTCTGGTAGATGGGGGAAGCATTATAGATACCTCTCAGCTAGTAGAGCCGGTCTCGCTGGCTGGGCGGGACTGATGGTAAGCACCAGTACCGGTAGGATATAGAGACTGGTAGAAATCATAGAGGGAAGCACAATGGACCAATACAGGTCTAAGTGCATGGGGAAACCCACCCTCTCCAATAAGTAACTAACTAGGTCCTACACACTATGCAATTATGACTGCAGGTTTTTTTGTGGTTTTTCTCAGTCCCTCAAGTGAAATGCTGACATGGTATCTTAAAATGGACTGGCAGCTTCCTTTGCATATCCTTCTTGGTTAACCCTTCTTGAACATCCTTCTGTTGAGTGTTAAGTCTATTTATACATTGTTTCCTAAGGACCAATAAGTAAGACTGTAAAGTTATTTGTTATGTGCAGAACACTGCAAGAAACCACTGGATGATTATGTAAGAAAAAATCTGCCCAAGGTGCAAGTTATACACTTACCAGAAAGATCAGGATTGATCAGAGCTCGTCTAGCTGGGGCAACAAAAGCTACCGCTGAAGTACTCGTATTTCTCGACTCCCATACAGAAGCTAATGTTAACTGGCTTCCTCCTCTGCTTGGTAAGTTTATGTAACAAAAATAAGCTCTTGTTGAAACTGCAATTGGAAGGAACTCACTTCAGGGATTATGGTTACATGTAGTTTATAATGTAGAGAACAGTGAAATAGTGATGCTTATTGTTATGAGAATGAAACTAGGGCAGTGACAAAGATGACGACGTGGAGGAGGAGAGGGCCAGACTGTGACTATGGTGACCCACTTCTTTGTCATTATATACCCTTATTTTTAGGGGCAGGTATATAAGTTCAAGTCAGTGTGTTTAAGAGGAACTTGATAATAATTACTTCAAGTGTGTTTGCCATAAGATACAGTGGAACCTCTAGTTAAGAGGAAGTCGGTAATAATTAGTTCAAGTATGTTTGCCACTAGATACAGCAGAACCTCCAGTCAGTATTCCTCTAGTTAAGATTTCCCCTTATTTAACATTCAGTGTCAGTAATTTCATTATTAAATTACCTCCATTTAAACATTTTCCTCAGTTCAGTATTTGAATCTGTTTATACTGAAAGAAACTTGAAATGTGGGTTTCTCTGTAGCTACATTGCAGAATTATGCAGTGATTCAAAACTCTAGTACAGTACTGAGGGATGTTGCTAGGCTGCGTCATAGCTTAAGCAGTTAGTCGCTGGCTTTCCACTGCGGCGGCCCAGGTTCAGTTCCGGGTCTGGTCAAGTGAGATTTGTGGTGGACAAAGTGGTGTTGGAGCAGGTTTCCTCTGAGTACTTTGGTTCCCCTGCCAATCTTCATTCCACCAATTGCTCCACACTCACCCTCACCTATCATCTGGGGCTGGTACAATAGGCCAGAAGTGGCTGCAGTACAAGGGACTTAGTCCCACCCACTAGCAATAGAAAAAATAGGGATGTTGCTGGGGAGATCAATTGAAGCTAAAAATATAAATGAAGTTCTTTCAGATTCACCACCATTTTGGAGTTACGACATGTTTGTGGTGATGTTGCTTTGTATCACTGTCATCGTTTGGTGGGCTCCGTGCCAAGAGATCGTGAAAGTAGACAGTGAAGAACAGTTATTGGACTTGGATAATGGTGCTGGTAACAGTAACAGTGGAAAGAGCAGAAATGACCAGATATGCTAATTCAGAGATTGCAGGTATGAATTTTCTGAATTCTCTTGCTGCATTGAGGAAATGTCAGCATAAATATCTGGATTGGAGATAATCTTACCAACATGTGTTTGAAATGGTGCATCTTAATCAGAGAGAAACAAGCACTCTCATGTGGCATGCATGTGTTGGCCATGGAACACAAGATTGTGGGCATCCCTCAGTTTCTGTGTCAGATGTTATGGACTTATGAGGCAGTATATACACAAAGTGATGTACACAGTCTACACAGCTTGCATGTATGGGCAGCAGAGAATCCTTGGGCTGGAATCATAGATGATTATGTAATCTGACCATATGTAATAGGATCCTGTCAAGGGAGTGTACGGTGATTTTCTTGAAGAAACATTTCCACTTTATTGGAGGATGTGTGTTTTGCATGTGGTTTGAGCACAGTACCGCCCCTCTCCACTTTGCACAACAAGTGTGCAGTTGGCTTGATGACAGCTTTGTTGACAGATGGATCGAGCATAAAGGTCCAATCACTTGGACTCTGTAATGTCCCAATCTAACCCCCCACCCCATGATTTTTATATGTGGAGTGCATGAAGGGAATAGGTTCATGACATGGAATTTTTGGATTGAGCTCATCTAATTAAGCTGACGTGGATCCTGCAGATATTATGAATCTACCTAGACAACTAGTTACTGTCAGGGGCTTAATTGGATATCACTGTCAGGCATGTGTTGAGGAGTAGTGACAGCATTTCAAGCATTGTAATGTACATTGACTGTACTGACAATTCCCCACCACACAATGACAATGTACTGTGGAGAGAAAATTGACAAAAATGCTACGAAGTGCAGCAAGGAAGGAGATCTTTTGACATATAATGTTAAAAAGAATTTTTTTATATTTTGTAAAAGTTAACTATCAAAATAGTACATACGTCATAACTCCTTAATGGTGGGGAATCTAAAAAGAGCTTTATTTCAGTTTAGAGTCCCCAGGTGCTCTCCCCAGCAATCTTATTCAATATTGTACTAGCGCTTTGTAAAACTCTGTATAAATGTATGTCCATTGTGTCCTAATTAAACAGTAACCTTTTAGATATTTGTTGAACAGCGGTGTCTCACCATATATACTTTTCATTACTAGTTAGGACATTTGCACTGAGAGGGAAATTAGTTACTTTCACAGCATAGCTACCATAAAAATTGGCACCCTGCAAAGGGCCACCAGGTGCTTATTATATGGCTGCATTTGGGAAACATAGCATGCAAAACATTCTCATTCAAGCTTTTTTAAATGTATAAATAGTAGTGAGTTTTGTATATTGCAATGACAGTCTTGTGATATTTGCATCTTATCATTCAGAACCAATTGCCAAGGATTACCGTACCTGTGTGTGCCCATTCATTGATGTCATTGCTCATGACACATTTGAGTACCGTGCCCAAGATGAAGGTGCCCGAGGTGCATTTGACTGGGAATTCTTCTACAAACGTTTACCTTTGTTACCTGAAGACTTGAAACACCCAGCAGAACCCTTCAAGTGAGTTTATGTGTTATTTATGAAGTTATTTACTGTAATTGTATCAGTAAGTTTGAAGCATTTCAGAATAACTGTAAGAAATAAGAATGATCCTCATAGTGAAACAAAGAGTGAAATAAACATAACAGAGTACATGATGTTCACATAATGAACAAGACAGCAACTTTTGTGCAGTCATCCTCACGTAACCATACTCTGTATATAATGCTGATTGTTATAATGCTTTTTATTCTAGAACCAATATTTTGTAAATGCTATCGCATGAGTAGATTCTAAAGGGTTCTAACATTGGTGTATAACACTCAGAATTATTGGGTTTTTGGACATCATTCATTGCCCGGTATTGTGAAATTTACAGCATTATGGAAACTGGATCTCTCTTCATCCTCAGGTGAGTGGGGAGACACCTACTCTGTTCAGTCCCTTAGAGAGAACTAACCTCAACTATTCAGCATAATTGCAGTTATATAAATACCTGAGGCCAGGCTTTGTTGAAAGGAAGTAACAGGAAAATTTAGAATAAAAATTGTGACGAAGTATGCACAGCCCTGAAATTAAGGTAGAAAGTGAGGTGAAAATTGTTTGCAGCATATCTACCCAACAAACCGGTGCATAGTATTGTATCTTGTAGTTCTGTTTATGAGTTCAGAGGACTAATACAAATGGTTGTTTTCCAGGAGCCCCGTGATGGCAGGAGGGTTATTTGCAATCAGTGCAAAATTCTTCTGGGAGCTTGGAGGATATGATCAAGGACTTGAGATTTGGGGAGGTGAACAATATGAACTTTCATTCAAGGTGTGACTTCTTTTTTCCATATGTCTGACATGTTATCTACAGTTTATTTTGTGTTTGTTTGTGAGCATAAGTGATTAACATGTTTGCTAACAAATACATTGCAGGATGTATTTATAGTCATGTTGTTACTATTGCCAGCCATGTCATGTAAATTTATTCTCAGTCAGTCATTTCTTTAGACTTTTTCCATTAAATGCACTGGAATGTACTGAAATATTTAAGCGTATGTCAGAGCAGCTCAGCAGTAGTCTGTATTTATCTTCTTGTATGAGCAACCGTAACTTCGTTTTGTAACCAGAATCAAGAAAACACGCTTAGATTTCTGGTTTTCCATGTGATGAGAATTTAGAGTTTGGTCCTTTGCAGTTTAAGACCATTCTTTTAACCGTTCAGCGTGGTTTGACGTGTATGTTTCGTCAAGGTATTTAAATCGTCTGCGGGGGTTCGACGTCTATGTTTCGTCCAGCTGCACACCTATGTTATAACGCCCATAATAATTGATGGTTTTGCTGTAGATTGTTAGATTTTTCGCTGGCCTGTTTTCAGACGAACAGTATATAATGAGACATGACTTTAGCTGCGTTAAGTCATCGTTACATATGCCTGTCTTGCAGCAAAATCCAGTTGCTCTTGGGAGAGATTTCCTCATTCAAACTGTTATGAATGGCGTGTTTTCTTTCCTATGAAGTTATAAACAGCAGAGACCTGATATGCGCTGTGTTTATAATATCATATTGCCCTGAGCTGGCCACACTAACACACTCAATTGGAATTCTTAGAAGAGGGATGTCCAAATTTTATTCTTGCAAGATCGATTGATTTCGCACAGTACATAGCAGCCAGTTCTTAGAAAAACGCCACAAATTAAGGCAGAACACTGTGGTCACCCCCTATGACGATACGGGGTGTGTGTGTAGGGGGGGAAAAGAACTCATTCCTTCATGTATTATCGCTCCAGTTGACTCCATTTTATCGTACTGACCTTGGTGGTCGTTTCGAGGGATGACCATAAATATTTTTTTTGAGCCAGCTAAGCTCTGCTTTCGTGCACTACATACCAGCCAGTTCTTAGAATAACTTCATGAATTCTGTGGTCACCCCTACGACATCTTAGAATATGAAACGCAGAAGCACCAACCCCTTGTTATGATAACATAAAGGTTGAATTTACTGCAGCTAATCTGGCAAGCAGTATGACTCACGGAGAGACATTTCCTCTTGTATTCCCCCCACGGGGAAGAAGGCAAGGCCGCACAGAAGATGTGTGGTTAAAAAAAAAAGGGCCAAAGAAAAGATACACAATATTGGTGTGGTGAATGTGAGCAGCGTTGTGTTTAGAAGAATGCTTCAAAGCGTCACCTGCTTCCATTGCCGAGATACCGGGCGCTCATATTATAAGGCAAGGTTATAAAACCATCTTTTAAGATCATTTTAGTGAAAGTTTCATGCTTCAAGGCCTACCCTACACTGCTCAAATTCTAAACCAACTGCTTCCATTGCCGAGATACCGGGCGCTCATATTATAAGGTAAGGATATAAAACCACCTTTTAAGATCATTTTAGTGAAAGTTTCATGTTCCTATCTCATATAATTTAAGAACAATGATGAATAAATCATTTTCGACAAAATTTAAATGGCCGGCTGAATATATTACCGCCGGAGAGACACGGCAGCGGAATTTAAATGACCGCCCGAAAGGGTTAAATATGAAAACAAAAAAACAAACTCTGTGGCCTGTAGTCCGCAAGTGAACTATATTGACCGAGCGACTGCCACTTGTCAGAGAAGTTAGTGGACCACCTCTGTGGTCTAGGGGTCAGAGTTCCTGGCTACAGATCCAGAAGTGCCAGGTTCGATTCCTGGCGCTACCAGATTTTCTGAGGAGTAGTGGGTCTGGAACGGGGTCCACTCAGCCTCATGAGGATAATTGAGGAGCTATTTGAAGGAAATAGTGGCTCCAGTCTAGAAAACTGAGGTTAATGGTTGTGGGGATCCATTGCTCTGACCACATGACACCCTCTGTCCACAAAAGTCAGCACTTAAATATGAAAGATACAGAAAATTAGACATTTGGTAGTCAAACATTGTAAGGTTATGTATGCCACTGATATGTGTTGGAAATCAGTTTTATATGGATTCAATTTAACTGCTATGGACAGTGAAGTGTCAGTTGTGTTGTATGTGGTTGCTTGATGATTTCACATCTTGCTTTAGTGTAAAAAGTACACCAGCAAAGTCAGTGCTGTTCAACTATGGGAAATATTGATCATTTGTAACATGTTGATTTTTTAGTGTATGAAATGAATTGCAGGTGAAGAGTTCCATCTTCTGGGATATAATGGTGTGTAGTGTGCTGAAAGTCAACCAACATTTTGGAGGAACATCTTTATGTTTGAGGAGCAGGAAAAGCGAGAAATGAGTGTCAAGTAGGCAGCAGTTGTATTCCTCCAAACTGTCAGTTAATTTTTGTCAGACTACACTACATATCCCAGAAGATAGAACTCTTCATAGTCACTGCTGTGAGAACATCCATTCCTACAGATTTACAGACGTTCTGTTCCTATGTAGAAATAACAGATGGCAACAGTTTGTATTTTGCCATACCATAATATCTCTTTTTTTTAAGTCATGCAAAATTAGTTCTGAATTTTTGGTATCACGTTTTGATTCTAGTATTATTTAAATTTATAATATTAGAAACAGGCACATGATTCGTATAGCTTTCTATTTTGTTTTATGTAAGGAAAACAGTTTTTTTATTCCTTAATAGAAGATTGCAATTAAATGAAATAATGCGTGTAGAATTTTCAGGTGGTTGGTACAAGAATCATTGTTCTGCGTTAAGTGCTGCAGGAGAGACTCCACATAAAAGCCCTATAACTTTCATTTTTATATAGTCTAGTTCATTGTACTTTTATGCCAAGCATTTTATAATGTAATAATTAACATGTATCCAGTTTTACCAGTACTGCAGTTCAGGGGTGAGAATATGTTAATCATGTAATTGCCTGATGATGGCTTTAATAGCTGAAACATGTAGCAGAGCCAGTCTTGTCCTTGACCTTGATATTGTTGTGTTGTGACGGATTTTAATAAAGAAATTGTATTTTCATGGTTTATTTGTTCTAGATTTGGATGTGTGGTGGTCAGATGGTAGATGCTCCGTGCTCTCGCGTAGGACACATTTACAGGAAGTTTGCTCCATTTCCTAATCCTCAGAAAGGAGATTTTGTTGGAAGGGTGAGATGACTCCTTCCAGTAGTTTTGATTTTGACATAGATTGTGGTTGGTAAATGAGGTATCGTTACAGTTGCTGCTGCTACTGTTTGAGATGTTTACCATTTTCTCAGTCGCTTGCTGTATCCGAGTGCACAAATGTTTGCTGTACGCACTAAATTAACATCATTATAATAGAGAAATTGAATTTAATTAAATAATTCCATGCAATTGAGTCCTTATCGAGAAGCTAATAGTCACACAGTTAGTCAAGTTCCCCGCCTGTGTAACGCGAAGGTTCCTTACTATGTTCACAAGAACTTGCAGCTGGGCCCTATGCTTGAGTACCATGTAACCAAGGGTTACATTTGTATTTTTCATTTTTCATTAGAACTACCGTCGGGTGGCTGAGGTATGGATGGACGAATACAAGGAATACTTATATAAGAGAAGACCGCAGTATCGTAAAATTGCTACTGGTGACATCAGCAAACAGAAGGAACTTAGGGAGAAACTGCAGTGTAAATCTTTCAGATGGTTTATGGAAAATGTGGCTTTTGACTTGCCAAAGAAATACCCACCCATAGAACCACCAGACTTTGCTCAAGGAGAGGTATGTTACAGTGTTCTGTTTCTGTTGCTCTGACCATTTCTTTCTTTCAGGATGCTGTCATGTGCTTAATACATCCTTTATTCACCACAAAGATACCTTTCATTTCTTTTTCCCTGACTTGTAAGGGGCTCCTCTGGTTGCGTTATCAGTCCCACCAGCTAGTGCTGTATCATGTAGAGGGGTTGGACACTAAGAAATTGAGGAATAGAATTTGTTTGTGTTGGCTACACTGAAAGCACTTCAGTTGGCAACACTGAGTGTTCTTCCATTTGTTTACACTCGGTAGTGCTTGTGTCAGTGCATTAGTGATTGTTTGAGTGACAGTCACTGTGAAAGAATTGGAAAATTGGAGACCCAATTTTGAATAGTATGTCACCTCTGAAGTGGAAGGTGCTAGGAAATCTGATTTTAATGTACATATGGATTCCTGTAAAACATTTTTGATATGAAATTGAGGTTTTTTAACAGTCTGTATTATGACTTCCAGATTCGTAGTGTAGCAGCACCAGAATTATGTGTAGATACAGAAAACAAGAAGGCTGATGAACATTTTGGCCTGAAAGACTGTGTTAAGGATTACAGGAGATCAACAGGAGAGCAGGTTTGTGTACCCTAATCTGCTGCTGTGTCATTCTAAATAGTTATTAACTGTATTAGATAATGTAGTTTTCATCGGTGATGATCTCTTGTTAATTGTTTCTTGTAGATGATAGTGAGCATGTGCAGATAAGTGGTATCTCTTCCTTTCTTTGCTGCTTAATATTTCATTTCATTTATTTATTGCATTCAAAGATCAATCATTGGTACAAGACCACAAGATATAGAACTTGTTACAGAATATAGTATAGTTAGTGCCTTGTAACTTTAGCTGCGCGGAAAGGTAAACACTGTTGTGGAACACTTGAAGCTGTACACTTACTGTGGTGGCTTTCAGAGCTACTCCCAAAGAGGAAAACATTGCTTACGGAGACCAGGAGTAGATACCATAGAATCGATACAGTTCCGTGCAATTGTCGATGTGCCACAATAATGACACGAACACCACGTAATACAATCGCTATGACTGGTACCAACTGACAAGCAACACAACGTGCTATACACCTGACCACACTCCAAGACACTACTGATAGTACCCACACTGACGTAAGCTGATAAGACTGCTCCCCCAGCTCCATGAGAGATGGTATGACCCCTCTACCGTGTCTAGAGTTCCGAGGAACTAACAGTAGGTGTATCATAAGCAATAGCAAAACGACATACATTTCATTATATATATATGCAACAAACTATCATAAAATAAATGTTGTCAGTTATGTATACAATATCTGTAATTAAAATAAATCTACACAAACATAAAACCAATTACAGAATTGTATAATAAAACAATACTTACATACTTACTCATGGAGCTGAGCCCTTCTGGAGGAGCTGCCAATTCTGCAGCATACCAGTTAAAAATCTCAGTCTGTGCTTTAAAACAATCTATTTGTATTGCTTGCTACTAAAACTCTCTTTTTCCTTACTTCAGTCAACAACTTCACTACAAGTACCTCATTTTCATGAGTTCCACGCTCCTACTTCTCAGTCACAATTATCCCGTCTAATCCCTAATTATTTGCTCTGTAGACAATTTGCACATATTACATTACAAGATGACATTATGACATTTTACCTAGGAGTAATTAATTTATGGTTGAGTGAGCACGTATTACTGGACTGTTGCGTTATGATACTGTGTTGTAGTCTGCTAGGTGGGCACCAGCATGTCAGAGGAGCATACTGCTTATGTCTTCAGGTTTGAAGTGATAGTGTTCAACCCTGAAGATGGAGGTGGTATGTTCCTCTGAAATGTTGGTCTACAACATGATGTGGTAATTCAGAAGACTACAGTATGAATTATTACCATGAAACCTGAAATCTTGTATGTATGTAATTGTATTGATTTCTTTTTATTTATTCGGTTGGTTATTTTGTTTCATAGGTTAAACTGTATTGTAAAATTTTGAAATGCAAGGAAGGTCATGGGTTCAAGTCCCGATGAGGTCATTGGTTCTTTTTCAATTGACCTAATGCTTCCAGCCGCACTATGGCCCTGGGGTCGACTCAGCCTCTAACAGAAATGAGTACCAGGAATTAATTAAATAATTCTCCTGGGGAGTAAAGCGCAGCCGTCGCGTAGGGCTGACAACCTTACTGCCATCTTTGAGCTGATTGTCTAGAGAAAATGTGGGACCCTCAGCGTCTCACAACCCTATGGGCCTTCACGGCCTGTTACAGGGATAACTTTACTTTTCTAGGATGTTGACTCAGATGATAAATATTGCCAACATACAGATTTGAATTAACAAATTAATGTGATCAGATTGTGGTCTGCTGTGTTTATTACCACATGGACTAGAAGGTAAATACTGATGTTTTGGAGGAAGATGCTACTGCCTTCATCAGTGTTGAAGCTTGTAGGGTGAGGATTTGGCTTTGTTGTGTAGGCAGGTTGGAGTGTGGTCTTTCAGAACCACAGGAGATGATAATGAAATGGAACCCAAAGTGGGATAATGTCACATTAGGAGAATGAAATTATGAAGAAAGTGGGCCATCTTTTCTTATAATTTAATTTTCCTTGCCTGACAGAAATGCAGTATGCCCATGAAAAGAGCCATTTTTTAGCCTACTTGCCTTATTTTGAAAATATAAAAGGCTTATGAGGTCACCTTCCCCCCACCCAACATTCCTAGGCAGCAGCTTGGTAAACATGTTCCCATGGCAACGAATACAGATGCAGCCTTAGAATAACTGCGATGTGTGGCGTTTTGTGTACTGTCCGTGACACATCAAATAATCAGTTTGTAAGGAAAGGGAAATGGGTGATTAGCTCTTCCAAGAACTTCCTGTCATACCTGCTTCTATTATTGGTCCGGATTGTGTGCTGTTCTGTTGGTCTGAGTGACCACCTGTCTTGTGTTATGCTTGTATAATCAAGGGTATCCTACAAACATCAGCCCTGAAGATGGAGGCAGAATATTCCTCTGAAATGCCAATACCACTTACAAGACTACATTGTATCCCAACCCAAAAGACCACAATTTGAACCACTGCCATGAAGAGCTCAAAATATATGAAGGAATATGGACATTGAAGAGAAAACCCAAACGGTGTGTAATTAATTTGACACACATGCAAGTACTTCCGTTATATTAAATTTGTGTGTTTTATTGTCTTCTGCAGAATTTTATCCTCACTTGGCACAAAGATATTCGTCCAAAGGGCCGCACCATGTGTTGGGATGTATCGGATGTCCAGAATAAGGCGGCAGTTAACTTGTTTCCTTGCCATGGTATGCAGGGTAACCAACTATGGCGCTACAACCCAGTAAGTTGCAGCAGCATGTAAAGTATTATTAACCCTTCACACTGCTGAACATTTAATTCCTACTCACTCCGTGAGGAGGAGGATGTTTAAACATTTAAAGCGGAGTATGTTACATTCACTTAAAGTGTAATAAATCAGGTAAAACTGGAGTTCTGTTTTTCAGATTTTCACACTATTTTCAGAAAAGTATATAGAATCAAAGTACTGATCCGCATTACTTCAAAAATATTTTTGGCACAGTAAGCTTATAAAAATTATGACTAATAGTATTGTATTACCTTCAAAATTCAGCTGGGTGTGGTACTCGTAGTTGTGAAAACACTCGATGCAGAGTCCCACGCCACACGCATCACACCAGTACACAGTGTCCTTCCTCTTCCCGCGCTTCTGACTCACAACACACCATCTCTGTGGTCTTGATTTCTTCGCAGTTGGAGAAATCTTGCTTATAAAATGTCTCTCTGTTAGACGGTGCACTATGTTGTCTGGCGAATGTCAACCTGGCATTTTGAGTTCTACAGCATTAACACATTTCACAAAAAGTCCCTAAATTAACTGAATTCTGAATGACAATTGATCTGTTCTTTTCCCTATATTACTCCTACATATTATCATCACATTCAGAATTGAGGTGTTCAAGAGCCTGTGAAATAGCTTCATGTACCATTTATCCATTCCCTTCCTCTCAATCAAATAAGAATGGACTTTCAAATTGACCCCTATCATTGATTTGTTGTAATCTAACACTGAAATGGGTTTGACCACTTCCTTTCCTCTAATTGTAACGGTCCTGGTGTCATGACTGATAGGTCGAGATCATAGTCACGATTTTTTGTAACAGAAACAGGTCCAGAATACTGTGCTATGATTTTGGCTTTTTTGTGTGCATGTTTTTCATTTTTGGAGGCATATTCTTATGGTGCAACTTGAGAGTGCCAACACAGTCTGCCTTGTGTGTGATTTTCAGTGTCTTGGCTAGACACTGTGAATTATAGAAATTATCCATCCACACTGTCCAGCCTTGTTTCAGCAGGGGTTCTACCAGTTTCAGAACAATGGCTATTGTTTTACTGCTGTCAGCTGTGATCAAGGGGGGTCAAGTTTTGTGTTCTTGTGTATATACAAGAAAGGATCATAAATACCCTGTGGTGGCAGCACATACAGCTCATAAGTTTTGATTCCAAATTTTGATGCCTTGAGGGGCAGGTACTGTTTGAAAGAGAGATGCCCTTTCTGAGATGCCAGTGATTCATCAGTTGAAATGTCCTGGTTTGGGAGATACAGTTCCTGAACTTTGTTATTCAGATGTAAAATTAATGGGAAAATTTTGAAAAGTTTCTCTGGTCCATCAGAATTACTCATGGCTTCATTGTCAGCAAAATGGAAAATTTAGATATTATTTCCAACTTATCTCATGTTGATATGTCTAAATCCCAGTGCAGAAATCACTCTTTAGATGGTAAAATATTACCTGAGAGTAGGTTTGTTGATAAAGTTTCCTTAATTAATTATATAAAGAAATTTTTTTATCATAATTATATACAGTAGGTATAGAGATGGTGATCAGTTTTTAATGTAATTCTGCATAACCCCCATTAGAGGGAAGATACCTCATTTTAGCATTAGAGATTCATTAAGTAGGGATACCACCGTGAATGGTTGTAAAATGCACACACCTTATTATGTGACAAGAAATAAATAACATGATTCAAGGTCAGAGGATTCATGAAATATGGACTGCATAGTAAGATTATGTTATCGTGTGTCTAAAACATCTTTAACGATACATAATCATCAGATGGTGATCCAAAGCATTATGCTATCACTAGGAAGTTATTTGATCCTGTTTTAGAAATACAGTAGGAACCAAAATTACCCTCCCATAGATATTATTGGACACACGGGACTTTACTTCCTTAGGTGTGATGTACCATCAAAGATGTTTTAGACAAAGTGTAAAATATTTGCTTTCTGTTTTAGGAACAGCAGTGGCTTGTCCATGGAGGTAACCCCAGATGTCTTGATTCTGACCCAGGAAGACAAATGCTTTATGTTGCAACCTGCGATACCTCATCTCTCACCCAGAAGTGGAGGTTTGAGAATGTAAACTTCAAAGCCCTTTCCAATTGGGATAATACTGGACTGAATTAAACAGCACACAATTTGTGTTGTGTGGACGTCATGGTGCTATGTTTCTGAACCAGGGTAGTAGAAGGCTGTAGTTCAGAATGCACAAATTCTTGCCCTATTTGGTGAATAGAATTGTGTTTTGTTGAACTTGTCACTCATTGGTTAATCCTTACACTTCAGAAATGAAGGCTTGGTATCATAGAAACAGTGAAAGGATTAATGACATTTTGATGCATGTTGAAGCATCATTTTCTAGTGATGAATTGAATGATGTACAACAATATTTTAAACAAAAGATGCAATATAAAACTGGTAGAATGTGGTGAGTGAAATATTATTTCATTCTTCCCCTGTGACTGTGTTTGTTAATGTTATTTATATGATATACTGTGATGTATCAGCAAATAAGGCTGATTTTCTTAACAAATTTCTGATTGTATTTATACAAATTTAAATAGAAAAGATAAATCTGGCAAGAGATTTTAAATGAAACAGAGGTAGTTTGGAAAATTGCATCAATACTTTATAGTTGCACCCAAGAAATGAAGATGTAAATTTTGTCTCATTAGGATAAGTAGATATAGACATTTTATGGTCAGTGGACCAGGTGTGGCCTTGTAGAGAATTTTGAGTACTATCTTCTGGGATATGGTACCATGTAACCTGATAGAAGTTTGCCAGCATTTTTGAGAACGATGCTGTCCCTATCCTCAGGGTTGAAGATGGCAGAAGATACTGCCTTTGTTGAAGTATAATCTGACAAAGCCATCAGCAGAATTTTTACTCCTCTTGCTTCTTGCTTGATTGCCTGCAGACTTACTTGTTCAGCTTACACTTTTACCCTGAAGATGGAGATAGTATATTCAACCAAAATGTTGAACCAAGTTTTTTACCATATTGCATTGTGTCACATGCCAGGAGATGGAATTCTTCATGTCAAAAACTTGATAATTCTGTTTATTACTTAACAGATATTGATGTCACCTACGAAGATCTTGACTTCTGTCCAAGGAAGCATTTGAAATTGGTGTGACCTCTTGTATGAATGAAGACTTTGCTCATCTTTGTGAATAGTAATGAAAAAAAAAAACAGGGAACTGGTATTATGAAGTACAAATTTATGTAGACTAGTTTGGTCTGGTGATGAATAAAGCCTCTTGCTTGTGGCTTTCTTTATCTTTGTATTTATAGCTGGAAAATATATTGAACACATCGTTTGAGACCATTTACTAGCAGTTGATGTATTTACACAGATTCTGGCCAGTGCAGTAAGTAGATCTGTATAGTAATTATAAAATTATGTTAGACACTGTCCATTTTCTTAGTTAAATTTAAAATTACATGATGTTTCGGAAGATGGATCTGCCTCTGTCAACGTTTATAAAAATGGGAAGATCTGTTCTGTTGGGCTTCTTAGATACTGACAGGCTCAGTCACTGGGCTCCCTCTAAGGGACCCAACTGAATAGGATCTTTTCCATTTTTATGCTTGTTGACAGAAGGAGATTTAGCCTTTGAAACATCATGTAATTTAAAATTTATCTATGAAAATGTTTTAGTGTCCAACGTAAATTTATAATTAATAACATGGCCATTGTCAGAAACCTTTTAGGGGATCATTAAATCTGTATATGAGGAAAAAGCTGCCCTAACTTCAGCAGCTCAGAGGATGAGACAGAAGTGGTTTAATTTGTACTTAAAATCATTATGTCCTTTCAAATGATAAAAATGAACTGTTATTATTATTGTTGCTTTCAATTTTTTTAAGAAGACTGATGTGGTTTTGGTTTTATAGTATATCCACTCTAAAATTCAAGGGTATATTGATGTGTTGTAACAGAAATACAGTATATGTCCAATTATCCACACTAATGAAGGAGGAAAGACATACAAGTAATAAAAAGATATGGATAATCCAAAAATTTGGGACCATGGTGATTGCTGAATGTAGAAATCTGGAAAGTTGCGCATAGCATCTGATTTGTTTAACTATCTTGAAAACCATAAAAGTATATTGAACCTAAAATGTGTAGTTCAATTTTCTTTACAGCTTTTGATCAAAACAGTCTTTATTCCTAATTCTGTATTTCACCATCCTGTTGCAATTGTTTAACTTAACGTCCACGTATTTATCGTCCTACAGTATTGCAACACTTCTTATTCACTGCTCAATTTTAATTTTAGTTTAACATTATACACCTTGACACTACATGTTTCGGCCCCAAACTGCCATCATCAGGTGTCTTGATATGTTACAAATATTTTTTTATTAAATTATGTTAAAACTGCTACACTGTCTTAGTCTGTGTTAAAATCACACGCTGTAGTTCTCTTTTCAAGGTAAAACCAAATAAAATCCTTTAAAGTTTCTATTATACCCACGTTATTTTGGTGCATTTTTTATTTCACCTCACGCAGGGTGTCAGCCATTGTTCATAAATGTATGTCTGTCGAGGGTGTTTTTTGGCAGCTTGCCCCTCACGTTCATAGCCTGCTTATCAGTTATGACTGCCATACGCCTCTGGTTTGAGTGTTTCCTAGTTCCACTAGTAAAGACAACACCACATGCTGTGGAAGAAACATGCAAACCAGGGGCGTATGGCAGTCATAACTGAAAAGTAGGCTATGAACATGAGGGGCAAGCTGCCAAAAAACACCCTGGACAGACATATATTTATGAACAATGGACGACACCCTGTGTGAACATGCTTCAAAGAGGTGCATGGATAATCTTCATGCAGATAATCGGGAATATACTGTATAAATACAGGCAGAGTGATATGGCAGTAATGATCTAACATATTCTGGAGTAGTAGTGCAAATTTAACACATCACACTTACTAAGCAAGAAAACTTATAAAGTGTAAGCCCAGAAAAGTGGTATTTGCATAATTTCCCATTTAATTTGATGTTCACTGTACTAGAATTCAAACAATTGCTGTATTAAATAGTTATTTTCATTGAAGTTATTAAATTGTTAAATTTATTTTAATTCGTACAAGGTAATTATGATACATTCTTGAATACAGGAGAATATATTTTTCTACAGCACAGCATTTTTCTTTCACATTTGTTTAAACACAGTATTTAGGATGTTATTCTGCTTAAAATTTCTGTAACTTTGGAAGTATCTGTCAAGTGTTATCTATTGTAGCTGTCAGCTGTCAGCATGGGGTGACTGATGTAGAGGGAAGGTACTGTGTGCACATTGAGGTATATTTCAGGGGACATCAGCTTGTGCAATGGAAATTAATTTCCCATTTTGAAGGAGCTAAAGTCTTTACTTTTATATATTTTTACAGTGTTCTAATATGGAGATATCTATGAACAAAATTTATTTAGTATATGGATAGTATTAGTACCTTTTCTTTAGGCCAGTATGTATACCAGCAAATACTTGATCCGTATTGACAAACTTATCAAAAGTCTCACACACTTGCCAGTGCATTGTATTTTTCAATCTTCATGCAAAAGCTGAACCTGAAAATATCAGAAACATGTTTTCAGAGGGGGAAAAGTGCCAGATATTATCATGGAGGAATGTTATATAACCATAATTTTTTTTTGTTCCAAGCCACATAGAAGTTTTACTTTTTGTTGAAATTAAAAGTGGATCAAGTTTGAAACCGTGCATGCAGATTCGCATGTGAATCAGAATCTGTTTTTTAATGCCATTCATGTAATTGTTTCAGGCCTGCAACTCATCAGCATGAGATGTCAAGTGACTTTTCTGCCATAAGGGCAAGGAGCTGTTGCTGTGCAGTCATAATAAGCAAGTTACAGCATTTCTCTGACATCCGTTTTGCCGTCCTATCATCTGTGTATGGCTGTTTCAGATAGTCTTTTCTCTTGAGGCTGTGCTACCACAATCTGTTCATGTCATGACTGAAGTGAAAATCTGTGCATGTCAAGACTGAAGTGAAAATCTGTGCATATCAAGACTGAAACATAACAGGAAGATAATATTACAGTCTTATAGTAAGAAATGTCTGATGTGTGTGACCAAGTCAGACTGATAAATTGTCCAAAAAACTGCCTTTCTTGCTTTACTATGGTTGCATGTAGGAGGATAACACATATGCATGATATCTGACTTTGTGCTTTGTTTTGACGCTGTCTGTGTGCAATGTCGGTTACTGTTCACTGGCTTTTCTCTATTGACACCACATGTTTGGCCTAACTGTCCATCTTCAGGTGTACAGGTTGCTGTGATTGTGGGATCTGCTGCTTACTGTGATGCTGTTCTGTTTCTGCTATGTAGAGGCCTTGGATTACATGTGGTTATGTGGGTTAGCCATCTGTTGCGTATTTACGTGTCTCTGAGCTGCTTGTGTTATAGCCTTATAGTTTTGTTGCCTGTGGCTGTCTTGAATGTTCTTGCTGGGGTCGGAGATTGTTGTGATGATGGCCAGCCACAACACAACAGACGTGTGCAGCTCAAGGACACCTAAATAAGAAACAGATGGTTAACCCACATAACCAGATGTAATCCGAGTCCTCTACATAAGAGAAACAGAACAGCATTACAGTAAGCAGCAGGTTCCACAGTCACAACAACCTGTACACCTGAAGATGGCCAGTTAAGCCGAAACATGTAGTGGCAATAAAAAGAAAACTATGAGAGAATATTAACCAACGTTGCACAGAGACAGCATCAAAGCATAATGCAAAGTCAGATCCAAGCAGTGCAACAGGATGCTGCAATATATTATTCCTGATATCAGTTTATGTAAAATTCATTCATGGTCTTCTGGCTTGAGACATGTGTTTACCAAAGTTTTCTGTTGGTCTCTAGAAGCTAGGGACAGTGTATTCTCTGGTTGTGATGAAATTGTGACTAGTTGGAAATCAGTGTGATGTGTCACTGGGCATGTCACATACATGTGAAGCACTATATATGGAGCAAGATCTACATGCATCAATGCATCACGTACAAGACATTTTTTGATATTTGGTAGTCCCTGTTGATCTCATTTCCATCTTCTAATGGTTAAGAAGAAAGCAGTCGGCATTAGTCTGTTAGCACCTGCACACGCTGGTTCCTAGCTCGCGGATTTTCTTCTTTTTTCTTCTACCATGAAGATTGAGGTGATATGTTCCTCTGAAATGCTGGTTTATATAAGATCTATGTGGAGCCACATCCAAGAAGACTGCTATCTTCATAGTCACTGCTGTGAAAACCTCAAGTCATACCTTCTAATGCTTAAGTTTATCAATGCTGTAAATTTAATAATCAATATATAACAGGAATTGTTCATTTATGGAATATGATCACTTGTATTCATGAATTTATAAGGCAGAATACTAGTTGGATCTTTTCCTTTCTTTTTTATGCATATTTGGCATTTTCTGTGACAGAACTGTGTGTATTCCCATTGTTGTAAGTTGCAGTTCTTGCAGGCAACACATATTGATGGAGTGTGATATGGGAGTTCCCTCATGAAACCTGTCTAAAGCATATGAGAAGTATTATATCAGCTTCCACTTCGGTTGGTCTAAATCACTTTCCTCTATGTCTTACAGAAGTATTAGAAGTTACAAACATTTGCTACAGTTTTTGTTGATGTGTGAAATGGATTCTGTAAGCTTGCACCTTACCTCTCTTTGCTAGTTTTTATCGAATAAAGTTCAGCCAATAATGTCTCTTTCCTGAAACTCATCCTGTAAACTATGGCTCTCATATCTGCATACAGTATCAGGATGTGGCAGTTTGGATTAAATGACAGTGGACTTTTCTAAACTCCTCATAACTCGAAAGACTGTTGTCTTCTAAGATGTGAGGCTACGTAAACTGATAGAATGTTACCACCACTTAAGAGGAACATGTAAAGTTATAAGACCCTGAAGATGGAGTCTTGACATTCCTCAGGAATGCTGGTAACATTTGACCACACTACATGGTGTCACATCTCAGAAGACTGAAATCCTCATGGTTACTGCCATAGAAACGTCCGATCTTAGATGAAGACACGTTTGCTTAGAGAGTATACATTGTAATGGCATGTACAAGGAATACACCGTCATGAGTAGATAACATTTGGTTTTGATTTGACATGGGAGTTAAGTGTAGGATAACAGCCCTAAATTGAGAACTGAAAGTTTTCTTCTGCCTTCTGAATTGCACGGTGACAGTGAGGAGTCTACGGCTGGTTCTTGGAATGAGTACAGCTTTTTGAGTTGTAGCGACATGTAGTTTGGAGGTGACATATTCTCCCTAAATATTGGGCTGTCTCCAAACTACATGTTTTTACAACTCAGAACCCCAAACTCCTTATAGACATTGCCATGAAAACTTCCAATCAAACATAGACCTCAGAATGTTTGTGTAAGTTACACAAATTGCTGTCTGATTGCAGAGGTAATTGTAAGTGTAAATTGGATAGGAAATGCTGAAGCTTTTGGGGTTGGGGTGGGGTAAAGTTGCATGTTTCTAATTGGTACAATTAGAAATTTCTTGGCAGCTAATTCTTCAATACTCTAACAAGCCATGGTGGACAGTTTCGGCATCGTATTAAAGTAGAATTCTGTAATGCAAGTGTATGGAAGCACGACTGCCGTAGCTTGGCTAAGGTAAAGACACATGGGTTGCAGCATAGTGAGAGCACTTAGTTGAATTGTAACTAATTCATCAGGTGGTACTTGAAAATTCTGTTAGGATTTAGAATGTTTGACAGTTTAGGACTTATACTGTTGCAAGATATTTTACATTCATTGTATCCAAAAATTATACAGACTGAAGCAAATATAAACATTCTGATGTATGTGAGGATATTTGGATCCTGGGTGGGATATTTATAATTTACTTTCATAAATACTTATCACAGCTGACTATGTCTTTGCTTCATGTTTTAGGAAAACCCGTTACGTGTACACCCTAAGGATGT